GGTTCGCCAGAAGTGGCTTAGTCATGCTGGCTACATGACCCGGAAGCTGTACACCGGCTCCCTCGGCCAATAAAGCGAGATGAGCACCGCAACTCCAGAGTCGGCCACGACTGGACCTAATGGTCAGGGGTCCCTTTACCTTTACCCCCTGATAACAGATGATATGATGTTCCCTGAGTTTCTGATCCCAAAGCAAATTCAGTTGTCCTTCAGCTTTTGCATCGGGATGGTTTGGCCAAAGGTTGCTGGAGCAACCTGCACCTTCTCCCACAATCCTTTGCCGCCATGAGCTCCCCCCTCAAATCTCCTTTTGTCCTGGAGACTGACTGCTCCAATAATAGATTCCCCTCTCTGCCCTTGGCGGGATAATCCATCTCTAACAACTGCTATTGTAAGTCAATCAAAATGTCAAGTTAGCTCTCACCTTTTGTTACATCTTAAACCCCTGTAATCCCGACGCTCATTGCTGCATGTTAAATCGAGCTCCCGTTGTCTGGTCTCCCCTGATGAAACCTCATGCCACAGAAGCGTCATGGCACGCCAGAGGTCTGCGGTCCTGAGCAGCGCATCTGCCAAGCCAGACACGTTGATGGCGATAATGAACGAGGGCACTCGGCGGGGCTTAGGGAATCTCAACGCAGATCCTTCAGTCTTCAAAGAAAGAAGCTTTTTGGATAAAGCTGTCCTGACTGCGGCTGGGTAAAATCCAGAAAGATGGATCAAATGCTGGAGAGATAACGCCTCTTGCATCCCTTCGTACATACCCACGGGAAATGGTGTGGTGGGGGACCCACAAAAGATGGCCTCCTTCTCACATTGGTTTGATGGAGGGTGGCCATGGCTCAGAGGTAAAGAACAGGATTTGCATGCGGAAGATCTTTAGTTATGGCTTAGAGAGCCCGCTGTATGACACCCTAGAGCAGGGGTCAGCAAACGTTTTCAGCAGGGGGGCAGTCCACTGTCCCTCAGACTATGTGGGGGGCTGGACTATATTGGGGAGGGGGAATGAATGAATTCCTATGCCCCACAAATAACCCAGAGATGCATTTTCAAGAAAAGCACACATTCTACTTATGTAAAAACACGCTGATTCCCAGGCCGGATTGAGAAGGCGATTGGGCCGGATCCAGCCCTCCGGCCTTAGTTTGCCTACCCATGCCCTAGAGAGCTGCTTACAGTCAGTGTAGACAGCACTGTCCTAGATGGACTAAGGGTCTGGCTCAGTAAAAGTCAGCTTCAGTAAAAGGCTCAGGAGTAAACTCTACACAAATCTGGAGTGGAGTCCCTAATACAGTTGGAAGGTGCCTTGTATGCTTCCTTCTGGCAACAGCCAAGCTGGTGCCAAACGTCTTCCTCTGCTTTCCTTTGAACCACATCAGTGGGACCAAGAGGGGGGTCTCATCACCAGGGCAGCCCAGGACTCCATACACACCAGCAGCGTATCATGGGGGTGGGCACAGGGGTGGTTGCCCCAGGCACAAAATTGTTAGGGGGCACAAAATTTCAACACCCAGTATGGTGGAACCTTGTGTTACGTACCGTCCCCCTTGCAAATGCTGCATGTTAGGAGCTCCGCTAACCTGGAAGTAGATGCTCCCAGCTGCGACCTTTGCCCCAGGATGTGAGCGCAAGTTGAGCACCGGCAGAGTGGGAGCAGCGGGAGGTGCCATTAGCAGGTTCAGGTTGAGAACGAACCTCCGGAATGAATTAAATTCGTAACCGGAGGTACCACTGTACCGCCTAACTACAGCATCTGTGCTTCCATCCCTGGACTCTATTGAAAATGGCTTCTCCATGTGAACCAGGAAGTGACCTCTCTAGATAACAGAATGACTCTTCTTTTCTTACCTCTGCGGCTGCGATTTCCTGGGTGATGTGGATGCCATTAGGCACTTAAATGTGCATGTGTATTCTATCTGTTTCCCACCCACCTACCACCTTGACACAGCCACGGGCACTGGCAACCCACGTTACGCCACTGATACACACTGCCCAGGCTTGTGCCCCAGGGACACAGCAGTTTGGCTTCACCCCCGGAAGCACGCTCCATTGTCTGTCAAGACAGACAGGTGCCAATAACAACAACAATGTTCCCAGTTAGGAAGAGCTAAAACTCAGTGGTAGAACATTTGCATGCAGAAGGTCCCACGTTCAATCCTTTTCTTTACCTCTGAGCCATGGCGATACCTCCAAAACCAGTGTGAGAAGCAGGCGGCCATTTGTGGGTCCCCCACCCTATCCAGGACTTATGGGGGAGCCAACGAGTTTTGCTCGCTTGACTTTGAGTATGAAAGCACACGGCTAAGTGCTATCGATCTGAGATCCAAGGGGACTATCTTTAAGCCGTGCTACCCTGGCACAAAGCCACCACTTAGCTCCTATTTATTATTCAGCAATGGCGAGGGAGAGGCGAGGTGATGGGGGTCTCTTGGCAGGCTGCCCTTCTGGGGAGGCTGGCAGCAGAGCTAATCTGCAGAGAGCGGAGGAGCAGGAGGGCTGGCTAAATAAAACAAGTCAAGGGCACGCGGAGCCGGGATGTGGAGGCATTTGATCATGGTGAATTGCAGAGGGGGATCCCTGAGCTCTTATCAGATAATGGAGGCAGCTCCGTGCACCTGAAAAGCTGCATTAGCTTAGCTTCATCAGCCACCGGGTGCCTTTCACCTTAGGTGTCAAAATTTGGAGGTAGGACAAGGAGTTGGGAGCCTTCTTCCTTAGCCAGGCCTATCTCCTGGGGGCACTGAGCAAGGCTCCTTTCGTTTGTCTACACTGAATGCCTTAAAAGGTAAAGGGTAAAGGGACCCCTGACCATTAGGTCCAGTTGTGGCTGACTCTGGGGTTGTGGCGCTCATCTCGCTTTATTGGCCGAGGGAGCCAGCGTACAGCTTCCAGGTCATGTGGCCAGCATGACTAAGCCGCTTCTGGTGAACCAGAGCAGCACACGGAAATGCCGTTTACCTTCCCGCTGGTGCGGTACCTATTTATCTACTTGCACTTTGACATGCTTTCAAACTGCTGAACCCAAATTCAAGGGGAAAATAAGTGTACAATTAAGATATCCAAGTGATCTGTGTTGCAGAGTTTTGGTTAAGGTAAAGGGTCAAGGGACCCCTGACCATTAGGTCCAGTCGTGACCGACTCTGGGGTTGCGGTGCCCATCTCACTTTACTGGCCGAGGGAGCCGGCGTACAGCTTCCGGGTCATGTGGCCAGTAGGACTAAGCCACTTCTGGCGAACCAGAGCAGTGCATGGAAACGCCGTTTACCTTCCCGCCGGAGTTGTACCTGTTTATCTACTTGCACTTTGACGTGCTTTCGAACTATGAGGTTGGCAGGAGCAGGGACCGAGCAACGGGGGCTCACCCCATCACAGGGATTCAAACCACCAACCTTCTGATTGGCAAGTCCTAGGCTCTGTGGTTTAACCCACAGCGCCACCCGCATCCCTCTGAATGCCTTAGATGGCTTTAAATTCATGGAGAAAACTGCTATTGGTGGCTACCAGCAGGGGCGTCTTACTCATAGAGGCTAGTGGCGCGGGGCGCCAGGTTGCCAAGTTCTGGAGGGCTCCAGGGAAGAGGTGGAGGCTGGACGTGGTGCCTCCCGGCATCAGCTCGCCTCCCTCGCCTGTCTCCGCCATGCCACGCTGAAGCAGCGCCACGCCTGGAGCCTCCGTCTGCCGTGGCCACTGCGGCACGAAGCGGCCAGCTGAACTGGGAGGCACCGCGTTGAGTCTCCGCTTCTTTCCAGCTGTAGGAGCCGCCCCCATCTGCTGCCCGCCTCCTCCAGCCCTGCCGGCAGCGCCGTCCTCCCTAAAATAATTCTGGGAAATGGGGGGGGTGCCGACTGGCATGTTCTCACCCTCCTGGTCGATCGTTCCGGAGCTTCAAAAGCTTTCTTTTGCCCGAACATCACAGTGACCGATGCCTACATTCACTGGCACACTTAGGGATCCGCAGAGTTTGCGCAGTTGCGTAACAGACCTCAGCAACTCAGCATTTTGGCTAATCTACTGTATTTACATATAAACACACCCGGAGCACTGCAACATGGCTCCCTCTCTCTCTAGCATCAGACAGCAAAGAGAAAAAAGAACAAAGGACAATAATCCCACTTCACAGAACACAGTAACACAAACATCCTGTCTCCGTCGCTTCCCATACATACACCATCATGGGATAGACAACAATCCCATGACTGCAATCATGGAGCAGGAATTCTAACACCGGGTATGCTTAAGACGGCCCTGGCTATCAGCCACGATGGCTGTGATTCATCTCCACAGTAGGAGGCAGCAATGCTGCTGAACACCAGTTGCTAGAAACTACGTGGGTGGCGCTGTGGTCTAAACCACTGAGCCTAGGACTTGCCAATCAGAAGGTTGGCGGTTTGAATCCCCGCGACGGGGTGAGATCCCGTTGCTCGGTCCCTGATCCTGCCAACCTAGCAGTTCGAAAGCACGTCAAAGTGCAAGTAGATAAATAGGTACCGCTCCGGCGGGAAGGTAAACAGCGTTTCCGTGCGCTGCTCTGGTTCGCCAGGAGCAGCTTAGTCATGCTGGCTACATGACCCGGAAGCTGTATGCCGGCTCCCTTGGCCAATAAAGCGAGATGAGAGCCGCAACCTACTGGACCTAATGGGCAGGGGTCCCTTTACCTTTACCTCACAGGAGGGGAGGGTGGTCTTGTGTTCGAATCCTGTTTGCAGGTTTCCTGCAGGCATCTGGTTGGCTACTGTGAGATCAGGATGCTGGACTAGATGGGCCATTTGCCTGATGCAGCTGGCTCTTCTGTTCTTATGCCTGCGTCAAAGCAAGTGTTAGCCTACATTTGCACTGGAACATCCCCGGAAGACCTTTGCAATCATGAAGTGTTAGGAATGGTGCTCAACCATTACCCCTTTTGATACCCAGACACAGGATGTCATAGCACCATAGAAGTATAGAGCTGGAAGGGACCCTGACGGTCATCTAGTCCAACCTCCTGGAATGCAGGAATATGCAGCTGCCCCCATACAGGGATCGAACCTCTAACCTCGGCATCATCAGTACCATGCTCTAACCAACTGAGCTATCCAGTCTAGTCATCACTATTGCAAGAATGCAGTGCAGGCAAAGCAGAAAGTCCATGACCTACCATTGATAGTTGGAGTCCCATGTGGTGGCCTTCAGAAGCAGCGTCATGAGACAGCTGCAGCAGTCGTAAGTCCGTTGGTGTGTACCTACATGAGCATGAGTAACGCACCAGCAAGCTTACTCAGCAGGATATGGTCTATAAATATGAGAGTTGCAGGCACTGGCAGGGAGAAAGCAGCAAAAACCAAGAGATCCAGGGATGGCGCTTTGTGTTAGCAAAGAACAAGGGGGTTTGTTTGCTGTCAAGTCTAAGGGTTCTCTGGCAGCAGTTGGAACATAAGAATCAAACGGGCTGGGATGGCTTTTGTTCTAGTTGTGTTTAAGTGCTCAGCAGTGCGCCTTGCTTAGTCTGATTAGGCTGTGTTTAGGTTTATTGTGCATGTTAATGTCTAATGCTTGCTGTGCAACCAATAAAACCCATTGTCTCCACCCATAAGCGTTCTGATTGTCTTCCGATCCAAAAGAACCATTGCCTAATCCAGTCTAATCTGGAGGGGAAGCGAGTTTGCTTTGCAAGAGCTCCCAGTCAGCTATCGTATCACAGAGGTTTATAAAACTATGCACAGAATGGGGAAAGGGAAAAGGGAAAAGCTTTTTTTCCTCTCTGGTAACATTGGAACTGGTGGACAACAAATGAACCTGAATGTGGGAAGATTTGGGACAGACAAAAGAAAGTCATTCACATTCACATTCACCCGGTGCTATACCAGCTGCCCTGGCTCCCAGTGGAGTACAGGATCAGGTTTAAGGTGCTGGTGTTAACCTTTAAAGCCCTATACGGCCAAGGACCCTCGTACCTACGGGACCACCTCTCCTGGTATTTCCCACTTAGGACCTTACAGTCTTCAAACAAAAACATCTTGGAGGTCCCGGGCCACAGGGAGGCTAGGCTGGCCTCAACCAGAGCCAGGGCTTTTTCGGCTGTGGCCCCAATCTGGTGGAACGCTCTGTCACAAGAGACTAGGGCCCTGCAGGATTTGACATCTTTCCACAGGGCCTGCAAGACAGAGCTGTTCCACCAGGCCTTTGGCCAAGGCACAGTCTGACCCCCTCCTTTGGTAATCCTCACAGAACTCTAGCCCAATGGTTGCCATTAATTTGATTTTGATTTGATTTTCAAATGGATTGATTTTAGAATGCTGTGTTACTTTTATTGTTGTTAGCCGCTCTGAGCCTGGCTGGGGAGGGCAGGATATAAATAAAATTTTCTTCTTCTTCTTCTTCTTCTTCTTCTTCTTCTTCTTCTTCTTCTTCTTCTTCTTCTTCTTCTTCTTCTTCTTCTTCTTCTTCTTCTTCTTCACAGTGCATAGTTAAACTATGGAACTGCCTCCTGCAGGAGGTTGTGATGGCCACTAACCTAGATTGCTTTAGAAGAGTATTAGACAAATTCATGGAGGAAGAGGGCTATTGATGGCCACTAGCCATCGTGGCTATTCTGTGCCTCCACAGTTGGAGGTAGCAACACCAGTTGCTGGAAACCACAAGAGAGGAGAATGCTGTTGTGCTCAAATGCTACACAGACACAAAGGATCATAGAATTGGGAGGAACCCTGAGGATCATCTAGTCCAACCTCTTACAGTGCAGGAATATGCAGCTATCCCATGCTGTTGGCAAATTTCCCGCAGGCATCTATCCACCGTAAAAACAGGATGCTAGACTAGATGGGCCATTGGTTGTTCTTATGATTGTGCAAGCTAAGTTTGCCAATATGTGATTGAATTCAAGCAACAGTGTCTGCTTCTTTAATGCCAGTGAGCATTCAAAACGCAAGAAAAAAAGGAAGGAAGGAATATCTAAAACAGACAGTGGCATGGTTCTATTGCAGATATTAATATTGTGCAGTTTGAAAAAGAAGAGGAGGAGTTTGGATTTGATATCCCGCTTTATCACTACCCGAAGGAGTCTCAAAGCGGCTAACATTCTCCTTTCCCTTCCTCCCCCACAACAAACACTCTGTGAGGTGAGTTGGGTTGAGAGACTTCAAAGAAGTGTGACTAGCCCAAGGTCACCCAGCAGCTGCATGTGGAGGAGCGGAGACGCGAACCCGGTTCACCAGATTATGAGTCTACTGCTCTTAACCACTACACCACACAGTGACTGACTGGATAAATAAAAAAATTTTTTTGGAATGAATCATTGTCTAGACCCATTAGATTGTTCAAATCTTTACTTGCAGAGCATTCTTCAAAACAGAACAAAAACATCAAAGATACATCCAGACAATTCCAGACAATATCTCGTGCTGTCCAGCACAGGCTTAGCATCTTCGAAATAAAAGAAAACACCAAACAGACCTATAAACAAAGGTCTCTCTCCTTACAACCTCCATTTTGACTGAAGCTGGAGAGCTTCATTTACATCCTCAATCTCACAGAGCCCGGGAACAAAGACTAAAGATAACTCCCTTTTAAAATGGAGATTTGCAGCCAAATACCTTTGTCACCTGATCTAAGGTTAAACACTCACTTGTTAGCTAGCAGAAAACAAGCAAGGTTAATTATCAACCCATCTAGGAGTTCAGAGACCTATTCTTGGCTTCAGCATCACCCCATGGAAAATCACTATGTTAAAGCCTTCAGTAATACACATCCAGGCATTATTCTTTTCAGTGTCCATTAAACAATTATATTTAAGAGGTTCCTGCTATTACTTCAGGACTCTTAAGCCAGCCACTACTGCTCTCAGCATGGGGGCAAAACAGCAGTTCAATTTCCACTGACATGGTCATTTGCTCTGCTGGCTGAGTTTTGGTCCCCACAACTGTAGAGACCTCATGAATTGAGCTGCACATGTATCCGCTGAGCTTTGCATGTAAAAGTCTCCTCTGCCCCAGAGCCACTTTCTGAGGCTGTAGTTTGTTAAGGGTGCTGGGAATTGTAGCTCACTAAGGGCAAAACTACAGCTGCCAGGATTCTGGCGGGGTGGGAGGGACTCATGCACTTTAGATGTGCTTTAAATTTATGGTGTTTATGCAGCCTGATATGTCTAAGGACTGGGAAACAATAGGAAGCTAATGTAGCACGTGAAGGTAAAGCAGGTACCCACTTAGCGTCAATGAGGATCAGGCAGTCGCAGCAATGGAGAATAAGAAGGTGAAGTTTATTGCCAAGCAATAAGGACCCAGTTTGGAATCTCTTCCAAAAGAACTGGGACCCCGATTGACAGAAATCCTGAGGTCTTTATACCTGAGCAAATCACAACAAATCATAGATCATGAGACAATCATGAGACAGTCACGATATCGCCAGCGAAAATTAGCCAATTAGCGAGCTTCTTGCCATGCTTCCAGCTCCTGGTCAAGCACAGAGTTCTACTTCTGCTTTCCGTTGCCTGCAGTGACGCTCTGTCTAACCTCTCCCCTAGTTATGACAGGACAGGGAGTTTTGGAGTTTTTGTAGTTTAGCTCTTCCTGTTCCTGTGGATTAATTTAGCCTCTATTTGAGGGGATTTTGTACCAGTACCTCTGATTCACGTCTTCCCCTTGTTCAGGGTACACGGGTGTTCTAGGGGAAAGGTCGGCTTCCAATTTGCTGTTTCAAGCAGTTTGCAGTTAGCTAGGGCACAGCTTCCCTTTGATTCAAAATGGATTATAAAAATACTGTAAGCCCTGACTATGTGTGAGCATATATGAATATATTGATTACTGATAACTGATTATATGAATAGCATAAGGGTAGCCCTTCTTTCCTTGCCTCACTAAGAGCATGTACACTGTCAGTTCATGTATGCATTGTGCTCTGTTACATGCAAGGAGGGAAAGCTCCCAGCAGCCACATGGTGGATAATAGCACATCCCCAGCTCCATAATGGTGTTTTCTGCCATGCCATAGATGCTCCAACAATGGCTGGCGAACAAAAAGCCACCTTGAATCAATGGTAGAAAACGTCTGCCTTGAAAACTGCAATTAAGCAGTAGACAGTCACTCTCAGGTTACCATCTGAGACTCAGAAGCATGACATTAGATTTCTAAATGTGTGACTCATTCTAAGAGGCACAAGGAAAATCAAGGAAAGGCCACAGAGGAGAGAGAATGCATCCTTCTCCCAACAGAGCTTGACTCCAGAGCTTGCAAAAGAACAATTTAAAAGTAACGATGGGCTACAATTCTGTCGCCAAATTTCTCCCAAAGTGAGTATCGACGCAAACAGAGGCAGACCATCTATAACGAAGAGCAAAGCCCTATCCACGTTTACTCAGGAGTAAGTCTCACTGTGTTTGTCTGGGATTATTCTCTTGTAAGTAAGTTTAGGTTTTGCAGATCAAATGTGTTTTATAATAAATGGGCCGACACATCCCCCATTCATTGCACAGGAACATGGGGCAGCCAGGAGGGTAGCAAAAGCATTTCATACGGTTTAGTTACACGGAAATGATAATAAGGGACCATATTGCAAGGCGGTCATAACCACAGAAGAAGCCAGGAGACAACGGGAAGCCAGGACACTGGAGAACAATGTTCAGGTAGAACAGGAAGCCGTCTTATATAGCTTCCTGTCCGGAAGGAGCCAATAGTGAGCCTGGGTGGGAGGAGTCAGTTTACTGCATCTGCAATTCACTGATTCACCATATGGGGGAGCTGAACACAGGTCCAGCAGTGCCTGATATCGAACCCTGGGCCCTCCATGTCTGGTGTGCGCGCCCTTCTGGTTGAAAAAGGAACAACAGGATGCTTAGATGGTATTATTCTCTCACTAGTCTGTGTCACCACACGCTGCTGTCCTGAAACATTTTCTTTGGTGACTGAATTTGAAGTTGCTACTTTATTTACCTTGCCAACAAAGGTCCATATAGTTAAAGCTTTGGTTTTCCCAGTAGTGATGTATGGAAGTGAGAGCTGGACCATAAAGAAAGCCAATCGCCAAAGAATTGATGCTTTTGAATTATGGTGCTGGAGGAGACTCTTGAGAGTCCCATGGACTGAAAGAAGATCAAACCTCTC